CCGCAAGTTCGAGACTGCCGAGACCCGTTACGAGAAGGTTCTTTTCGTCAAGACCCTCTCCAACGCCGCCATCGATGTTTCCGTTTACAACCTCAACAAGATCATTTCTGACAAGAAGGAAGAAAAGACCGTTCGTCTTCAAGCTGTTGAAGCTCTCCGTCGTCTTCGCACTGTCATGCCACGCAAGATCCAATACGTCCTCATGCCAGTCTACAAGAACCGCATGGAGCTTCCAGAACTCCGTATGTCTGCTCTCAACGTCATCCTTATTACCAAACCAGAAGAGTCCGTCCTCTCCCAAGTTGTTGAACAAGTTGTTGTTGAACGCAACCGTCAAGTTCGTTTCTTCACTTTCAATGCTCTCCGCACCATCGCTAAGTCTACCAACCCATGTGAAAAGACTTTGGCTATCCGTGTCTCCAAGGTTCTCCGCCTTATCCCAACTGAACTCGAACAAACCATCATGGACAGCCGTCTCAACAAGTGGACTCTTTTCAACAACGAGTATATGACCGGAGCTAGCTTCAACTGGGCTTCCCTCTTCACCTCTGACTCCATCCTCCCCAAGGAAATTATGGCTTCCCTCGACTCCGTCTTCGGAGGAGAATGGAACAAGTACTTGGCCCAAGTTGGACTTTACCAAAACAACATGGATATCATCCTCAACAAGATGATCCGCAAAATCGAAGAAACTGGACTCGAAACTCTCGTTGTCCGTGGAAAGAGATCTGCCACTTTCCGCCCAGCTGAACTTCTCCGCACCATCGCTCAAAAGCTCCGCATCAACCGTCGTGAGATGATCAATGACGAGCCAGAAGCCCTCCTCTATTTCCGTTACAAGGATATGGACTACGCTTTCCTCCCAATCGACATTGACACCCTTCCAAAGCTTCTTAAGAAGATCGCTCATGAAGGAAGAATCGAGCTCGGAGATATCGAGCGCGTTCTCGCCCAAGGAACCCACTTCACCCTTTCCGGAGCTGTCTTCGTTCACGAGACCATCCGCAAGATTCCAACTGCCCTCGGTATGCCAGTCGTCCTCGAGTCCAAGATGCCAACTCTTGCTACCGTCCAAGGACACATCAAGATCGATTTCGAGCCAAAGAGCGCTGACCGTTTCAACGGACTTCGTCTCCGCCTCGTTGCCCAACCCCAAATCGCTTCTACCCACGTCATCAAGCTTGAAGCCCGCAACCCAGTTGTTCACTCCGGAGTCAAGCTTCTCCATGGAGCCAGAGTTAACACCCCCGTCGACCTCGAAATGATCGTCAACTGGGAAAACAGACTTACCATCAAGACTGTTGTTAAGACACCAGAAACCAAGAGACACCTCGTCACCCTCATGAGCCGTCCAGTTACCTACGTCTCTGTCTGGGACAAGGAAACCCGCCAATACCCAGAAACCACCGAACAAACTGTTTTCCTTAAGGACTCTCGCTTCCCAATGGAAACCGTCGAACGTGTTTACTTCGAGGAAACCGGAATGAAGCTCGCCGTCACCGGAAGCATCCGT